ACTCCTGCGAGTCCCTTGGACTGCAAGGCGTTCAAACCGGTCGGTCCTAGAAGAGATCAACCCCGACTGCTCTTTAGAAGGCCAGATCTTGAAGTTGAAACTCAAGTACTTTGGCCACCTAATGAGAAGAAAGGATTCACTGGAGAAGAGCCTAATGCTGGGAAAGATTGAGGGCAATAGAAGAAGGGGACGACAGAGAATGAGATGGCTGGATGGAGTCACTGAAGCAGTAGGTGTGAATTTAAATGGACTCCAGAAGATGGTAGAGGACAGGAAGACCTGGAGGAATGTTGTCCGTGGGGTCGCGATGGGTCGGACACGACTTCGCAATTAACAACAACAACAAACATTAGCAGCAAGCTAGACTATTATAGAATTGTGCCATTGAATTATCATAGGTCTGAGCAGAATTTTCTTTACCCTACATAACTTTCTGAAGTTAGAAATTAAACCATGATATCACATAGACTATGTGGCATGGGTAATAATATAAAAAGTTGATTGAACCATTGTCAATTCTTAGTGACCACATAGATTTTGTTTATGACAACTTCATGGTCTTCAAAGTCTTCTAATGATGCACTCATTGCCACTGTAACGTGGCCATTTATAAAGTTAACTTAAACATCCAGTTCTAGTACTGTGGCCTTTTATAAGCTTAAACATCTAGTACTATATGCTACTAAACGTTTTTGTAAATAGAGAATATCATCTAAGATATCTTGAACATTATTACCTATACTGAACAATATTTCAGTATTTTCTTCCATTTTAGTTTGATCTCCTTTGAATAAGTTATTCTCTAGTCTATTGACATCCTTAAGTGTACCAATTCAAGATTTGAACCTCCTTCTGAGTTCAGAAATATTTTGAAATGCTTTCTTTGTTTTTCTTTTGATGTTCCATTCAATGTCTTTACATATGTTGTTGTAATACTGCTTCTTGTCTGTTCTAACAGGTCTCTGAAACTCTTTGTGAAGTTCCTTTCTGAAATATTTATGTTTCTTGGTTCTGGTTTCTTTTCTCTCAGCAACTTATTTATTCAGTTGTATAATTGTACTCAAACCAATGATTCTGAATGGTGAACAATCAGAAAAACAACTAAAATATGATATAAAAAGAAATTAAATACAAATAAAACCCAAGAGATATAATCCATTAGTTTCAGTATAACCAGAAAATGGGACCCTTCACACACTCAAGACACCAAACCTGGGCACTTGACAAGTCTTCAAGGTCTTGAAGCCATCCTGATCTTAAAAGTGACAATATTTCAAAGGAAAATTGTTTCTTCCTGGTCCCCACCAGCTGATATTCCTTGGCCGATGCTGCCTGGAACACATCCATTATACCAGGTCAGATTTAATGAGTAGAAACTACCGGAAGAAGAGGTCAGGGGTCACCAACCTTTCTGGGTTGGCAGCCCGGTGGGAAAGGGAGGGACAGGCATCTTTATGTGCGAATGCGCAAACACGCAAATGTGGCTGTGTGTGCGTGAATGGAGCTGTGAGAATGCACACTGGCGCTGGTGTGTGGCTTGGCTACCACTGGCACATAGCTTGCAGGTTGGCTACCACCGCTGAGGAGCTCACGGCTCGCGGCTCAGCTAGTGCTGGCAAGAGGCTCGCGGTTCGACCAGTGCTGGCTTGTGACTCAGTTCACACTGGCGAGCACCTCACAGCTCACGATTTAGCTGGTGCCGGCAAGAAGTTTGTGGCTCAGCTAGTGCCAGCACGAGGCTCATGGCTCGGCTAATGCTGGCGCAAGGGCAGAGGATAAGCACGTGCACATACGTGCATGCACTGGCCAGCCACTCACTGGGCCATGGCTCATAGGTTGGGGACCTCTGTCTGAGGTAACCCATCACAAAGGCTTTAAAGATAATTACCAGTACCTTGAATTGCACCTGGAAATACTCTAGCAACCAATGTAATCCCTGAAGCAGTTGTGTTATTTGTGGTGAACAGCTGACACAATTTATGACCCATCAATTGTATTCTGCATCAGCTGAAGCTTTTGCAATGCTGTTCAAAGGCAGCCCCATGAAGACTATGTGGCTATAGTTCAATTACTACAATTTACCGGGACATCCACTTTGCTCTGTTGTCTTTCTTTACATTTGGCAGGTTTTTTTTTTTTTCACATTCCTCCTTAACAACTTCTTTAAATTTATTCCATAATTCCTCTGGTTCTTTTATCACTGAGTTTCAGGACTGTTGAGGATCTAATGTTCTTCTTGAAAAATGCGGATATATTTTCAAGGTTATATTGAGGAAACTGACTGGTTTTCTCCTCTTCTTTAGCTTAACTTGAAAACTGCACATGAGCAGTTTGAGATGTATTCTACAGTCAGCACCTAGCCATTTTTTTGGTACTATAATTGAACTCCAGTATCCAATTCCAGTCTCCAGTCACAAGCAGTACATCTTGCTTGCATGGTCTGTCAAGTTCAAATTGAACTAGATCATAACACTCATCAACCTCTTCTACTTCTGCATCAGTAGTTAGATCATAAACCTGAATGATTGCCATATTAAAGGGTTGTCCATGAAGTCTGATCAATAATATACATTCATTGATTGTAACAAACTACTGTTGTTGTTATATTCTTCCTAATTATAAAAGCAACGCTGTTCCTGTTTTGTTTTTCATATCCTGAGTAATAAACGATGTGATCTTCTCATTGAGAGTGAGCAATCCAAGTCAATCTCAATTTGCTAATGAATACTTAAGATGTCAGTTTGTAGTCATTTCATTTTATCTTTACCTGTGTTGAATTTTCCTATATCTGTGTTTCTTACATTTCATGTTTTTACTGGTATTCTGTCGTTATAGTTTCTGATTTTATTTTCCTGATTGACAACATCAGCAACTTAGATGTCCTGAAGACTTTAATCTAGCCATGTAATGAATGCATCAGCTGTTTATATTCTGAAAGATCCTCAGCAATTCTTCAGTAGCATGTTGCATGCCATCCAACTTGAGAGGCCCATCATCCAGCACTACTTTGTCAATCATGCTCTATTTTCTGACCATGTGGATTTCTTGTTAAAAATACAGGAATAGTTTACTATTGCCTTCCCCACATGTATGAGTTGTATGAGTTGATGCCTTTTCCGTTGTCACCCAAGTAAACATCTGCCTGCAGCATATTCCAATTTGGGTGCTGGCCAATATAGGTGTCTGTTTGCTTTGGCTGGGCAGCAGACACGACTTTCACTCTTTATGTGACCCTACTTGGGAATATATACTCTTGGCATACACTTGTGGTGTTCTTTGCTCATACCTCCCAAGAGCACTTCCTCCCTATCATCATAAAGCAGCACAGCTGATTAGGGGCATAAAAAACACCGAAAGGTTAATGAAAATCAAGGTCTTGAACTCTTGTTCCTTTCTCAGCAGACATTGTTCACAGGGTAATAATTTGGAAACAGTTTCACTTCAAAATCCTTTAGAGCTAAACTGCAGCTATCACTCCAAATCTTTTTTCCAATAAGTAAGATTGATTTTTTTTCAGATTCATTAAAAAAATACTATAAACAAATGAAACCATTTTTGACAAAAGCAAAATATTATTGTTCAGTGTAACATCTGTACATCTTTTATGACTATATCTGCTGGAACTTAAGATATCTTGGATATTTTGGTTCTTACTGATAATTTCTTTAAGCTTATTTTGTCTATCTATATTTTTGGCACTTACATTTATTGTTTATTTCTTCTGCATATTTTATTAGGAATGAAATATCTATATACAGATGCCCTTCACTTTTGTCAATTTTATTTTGCTACAGCAAAATTTTGTTTTTACTTTGGCGTTATGGGGTACTGAGTGTAGATTAATGAGAAAAAATGGATTTCAACAAATGTAGAATCAAGCTGAAGAATAACAAAATTGAAAAAAGTGAAGGGGGGTTCTGAATACTTTCTGAATGCAATGTAAATATATTTAGTTACCCACTTAATATGCATGTTTCAAATTTCAGTCTTACAGGATTTTCTATTTTGAAGCAGTTCCCATTGAGTTAAATATGAGAAATAAATGTTTACAGGTTATTTACAGAAACCTTATCATAAAAAATATGATTTTCATTATACCATTGCAATTTCTTAAAAACAGGATTTATTTATTTGCAATATATGGAATTAATTGGAGTACTTAGATTCATTTATTTCATTTCTTCTTTTAATACATGCATTAGATACTAATACGTTTAAAGTGCATTAAATGCTGTAGCATTTTTATGATTGCCTTTTGTGTGGGTGCATATTGATTTGGTAAATGGAGATGTCTATCTAAAGCTATTAGCATTCTAGTACTAAATACTATTATAGCTTTTGAGATGGATGCAAGCTCTTTAGATTGCACAGTCATTACAAAAAAATGAAGCTTAAATGAATACATTGCGTATATTCCAAAAAATATTCACATACCTGATATGAAGGAAGATTCCAAAATTAGATTCAGTTCAATAATTCTGTATTTTATCATTCTGTTAGAAACCTTTGAAAATGTTTCAACAAAAGTATGATTTTCAGTAGCTAAAAAAAAGAATGAATTGCTTGGTTACAATATTTTGTACAGTCATCATTATTATCCCACAATCAGATTCAATAAGTATGTAAACTATTTTGGATAAATAATCAGTTATTCTTGAAGTGTCCATTGATTTTTAAGGGTCCCAGGTTTATTTTTGGCATCTTCAGTTAGAAGGATCAAATGCCAGGGAAAGAGAGCCATTTACTGAACACTCCAGAAAATCGTTGCCAGAGCAGGCAATAAAATTTTGCTGATTCATTCATTGGTCTGGCTTAATATAAAACAGGTCATGTCTTACTTAACATTTCAACTGGGGACTGTCGAAACTCATCCAAAATCTTGAAGTAGCCATTGATATTGAAACATTATTTAATTTTTAAATAATACTTTATTGATAGAAATAAACTAGTTTATTCTTTATGCATATTAATGAATGCTACTTTTTCCCCCCTCTCAAAAGGTTACGGTTTTGTAGATTTTGATAGTCCAGCAGCTGCACAGAAAGCCGTAGCATCACTTAAAGCAAATGGTGTGCAAGCCCAGATGGCTAAGGTAAGATTAATGTGTGAACATTGCTTGATTGTACTGCTTTACAAACTAATGTGATATTAGTTTATAGTGAAAATTCAGTTTATTTTTGTCATTGTTTTCAGAATCAAAATGGCCAATGATCTTGCCTTATCCATTTATAGAATTTTTATTTTCTCCTCTACTGATTTGTTTATCTCTTGGTCATCACCAGTCTTTATGCATTTATAAATATTGGATACTCGCCCCCTTTTTGCATCTAAAATTTATCTTGCGAAGAACAAAAATGCAGTACCATAAAGCATTAGTACCAAGGCTCCTTGAACCAGTCCAGATTTTCTTCTGATCATTAACATGTTAAATATGAAAGTTAAATATTGGACAAGAAGAAAGGAACTATATGTTTTGCAAGAAACATCTAGGTTGAATATGAAACTATATGGTCCAAGACTTCAGATCTTAAGGAAGACTTTCTACTTCACGGATAGCTGGTGCAAATAGTTGCTGGAAATATGTAATGCTTTTAGCTGTAATAAGGTGGCCCAGTTGAAAAACATATTTCGGATAAGTAAGTACCCAAAAGTCAATATTTATTGATAGCATTCTATTTTGATAAAATGCCTTACATATTTGCATGCATGGAGCTCATCCCTTGTAAAGTAGAAAATGTCTGTATTTGCATATAATAATGAAGATTTAAATAGCCTGATGTTTATGCTTGCCCAGAAGTTTACTGTCATGAAACACTTGTAGAATCCATTGTTATTTTTTTTTAAATGATCCAGTTCAAATGACATTTCATTGTTTGATATTGGGACCACATCAAAAAAGGAAAATTAGATACTGTGCATTATCCCAAGTAATGTTTCTCAATAGTATGCATTTGATTATACCATTGCAATTTCTAATATTACTAAGGATTCTTTTATTCTGTTTGTGCCTTTTGCACATAGAAGACTAGATACAGTATAAGGAATTTCACTAACAGTTATGAATGTCTTAATTCATATTACCATGTATGCGATATAAAATAAGAATTAGATTTCTGTATTTTTAGACTGAAGTCCTTGTTAATGTAATAGATAAGCCCTTATTTGTTTGTGCAGCATGTCCAAAGCCAGATTGTATTTTTGACTAAATATTTAGTAGAATTGAAGAGTTCACACTTACAAGAAATCTCCTTTGTGAGGACTGGAGTTTTAGGCTAAATTCTACTTAGGTTTGATTACAGCAAGGATTGCATTATTAGACCATTCGTATAATAGTGGACCACTGTAGCAGATTTTTAAAATTCTGATTTATTAATTGTCTTATTTGTTTAAAATGATCATTGTACACCTTCTGCAATATAATTAATGTATGGTTTGGTGATGTAATTTAATTTGTGTAAAATTAATTTTAATTTAATTTGAGTAAAATAATTTTCTAGAGCAGGCAACTGTTGCTACCAAGATAGTACTTTGACAAAATATTTGACAAGGCTGTTGTTTCTGAAATTTGATACTTTTTAATGTTTTCTTTGCTTGCAATATTTTTCTAAACAAGGATTTTATTTTGTATTTCTTAACATTTTTCAGTGAATTAATAAAAACCCACCACTGAAATTTTTCTGAGGATGCTTATGGAAATCAGTTGTTAAGTTGAATGATGAAATGATGATGCCAACCAAGATAGGCATCTCAAGGCAAAAACATGAAATATTGATGCAGTTTTAGAAATTTAATAGTTTCTTCACCTGAGAAATACACCATTATGTATTTCCAATTAAATAAATCTCAAAAGGTCACCATGTATCTACATGGGCAGGAGTGGGACAGATCTGAGGGTTTCTGGCAGAAGGGGGTGGGACCAGGGCAAGTGCCAAGGCATGGTCCACTGGAGGAGCCTCATCGTTCCTCTCAGGCCATGTGGGGGGGCTGGATGGTGGTGCAGGCTGCCGGGAGCCCTAGGCAGCAGAGGTCAAATGCCCAGTCTGGCCCTCGAGCACCCGTGGTACCAAGCCCAGCCCCACTTCCCCAAGGGGGCGCCCAGCTGCATTTACCTCCTCCTCAAGGCTGCGCTTGCTCTCCTTAGCCAGGTTGCTCATGATGGGTACGAGGGCAAAGTCAAAGGGAGGCCCGTTCTCTCTCCATGGAGGAGACCCGGCTTTGTATCCAAAGCTTCCTTAGCAATAGGATGGGACACCCCAGAATAGGCCAGGAGAGGGGGAAAGGGGATGATGAAAGGGCAGCAGGACCAGACTAAGGCAGGACTTCCTTCAGACCCTTCCTCTCCTTCTTTCCTTCTTTTCTTTCTTCCTAAGTACAGAGTGGTGGGAAAATATTTGAGATGAGGGAAGGAGAAAAACAGGCAAGAAACACAGCCAGGACTAAGGCAGTGGAGGCCGTTCCCTCACTGTTTCCAGGATGGCTTTGCGGGCCACATGAAACCACTTTGGGCCTTGGGTTTGACATGTCTGGCTTAGAATAAATAGCTATAGATAGGCAATGTAGAAGTCACTGGAAAGGATATATCAGAGAACAACAAGGCAATTGATATTCTACTTTTCTCTGAAGTAGACCTCCTAGGAGTCAAATGGTTACTTTTGATGAAATTTGAGAACTTTAAAAAAGTAAATCTAAGGTGGATATGTTTGTCTCCTATGCAAAGATGTCAAAGTCTAAAGAGTTGAAAAGGTGAGGAATCCGAATTTACTACTTTATCCTTATGTGAAAATAATGTATATATGGCAATACAGTATATACACTAACACTTGCATACAGTGCCAAGTTTAAACTTTTATACAAAAGGCCTACTCTTAAATCAGTGATACAAATCAGAAGCTATTATGTCATGAACAAATGTATTTAGTCACATCAAAATAATTTGGATGAATCCTGTAATTTAATTATTATATCAGTGAATATCAAAGAAAACCATTTTTGCAGATAATACAGACATCCTTTTTGGTGTCCATCACTCATTCAAAAATCCAAATAGTCTTTATCAATACTGTATAATATATAGAATCATTTGCACTCATTTATTCATTTTAATGGTCAAAGTTAAATGGAAATATCTCCTACAACTCACTTAAAACATTTATAAAATATAAAACAAAACCATTTTTGCAGATAATACAAACATTCTTTTCCCTCTCCATCTGAGTCTACGCTCAGTTTCAAAGTAGGAAGCAGTTGAAAAATGAAACAATGAGGACTTCCGGTGGCGATTGCTGCGCTGATGGCGGCTTTTTTTAGCATTCGTCTTGGGAATGTGTAAAAGCCGGTAAAGACAGCGATCACCAGCTGTTTTGAGGCTTGGAACCTGTCTTCCTGGGAGAAGGGAAGAAGGTGAGTTTTTCCAGATAGAGGTCGAGTTCCTCTAGTCTCCCAAAAATTTTCTTTTGGGAGACGAAGGGTGAGAACTCCCTCAGAGCCTCGATCATCTCTGCATCCCAGGATGCCTTTGTTCTTCAGAACGAAGCTAGGCACTACTTCCACATCTGCTGCTTAAAGAGAATTATGAGTAAAATCAAAAGCAGACAGAGCTGTTCAGGAGGATCAGAATTGTGATACTTTGGAACTTTAACTCAAAAAAGAATTAATATCTTCTCCACTTACTATTTTAATAAAAGGAGAGAGGAGAAAAAAAATTGGCGGAGGAATCCCGTTTCTTTGTTTGAAAGGATACTGTTAAAAAAGACTTTCACTTTCAATTGGCAACAAAGTTTAAACAATGTAATGGACTTTGTTTATTTAAAGAGTTAGCTTTTTTTCTTATGTATGGGGGATTTGTTTTTATTATCCCCTTATTTCATTTTGTTATAAGAAGTGGCTTTTTTAAAAAGAAAAAAAAGTTTGAAAATGGCTTCAAAACGCCCTGGAATTTCTTCTCTTTCTAAAGGCTCAATTTCTTCTCCGGTAATTCAGACTGTTCAGCAATCTAAGCCTAAATCTCCTCCACCCTCCCCCCACCGGTAATTCAGACTGTTCAGCAATCTAAGCCTAAATCTCCTCCACCCTCCCCCCCACCTCAGGCACTCACACTTAAAGATTTACAGGATGCTTTACAGGAGGCTTTGGAGAAAACTGCACAACAGATTAAACAAGAGACAGCAGAGCTTTTGGAGCAGAAAAATAATGAGATGAGAGAAGATATTGTGCTGGCTCTCCAGGGACTTGCAGCTCATGTAGAACATCTTGATGAGCGTGTGGACGAGGTGGTGGAAAGTGTCGAAAGATTACAGGATAGAGCTGAAAAAGTTGAAAATAATGTTGATGCAGCACAGAATGAAATTATTATGTCACAATATAGAGATATGGAATATGCTTTGTGAATAAGAGGATTGAAGGAGAATGTGCAAGAGAATCTGAAAGAAGAAATTGTAGCAGAATTAGCCTCCATTTTGGGATGTGAACCTGAAGAAATGTTGAAAGAGATAGAAAATTTTTTTAGAGTTAATTCATGGGTTGCGAGGCAGAGAAATTTACCAAGAGATGTGGTTATTTACTTTTCAAGAAGATCACTTCATAATGAAATTATACAGGCTTTTTATAAGCAGAGATTTCAAATTGCAGCTCAAGATGTAATAATTTTAAAGACATACCTCCAAAAATTCTTAGAAAAAGAAAGGACTTTGCTTTTCTGGCTGAGGAGCTTAAGAAACAACAGATTCAGTTCAGATGGGATGTACCTGTTGGAATAGTGGTGAATTATGTTGGGATACATTATAGACTTAACACAATTTTAAAGGCAAGAGATTTTTATGTTTCTGTTCTGAAGGCAGGTGCACCACCATCTCCACGATCTAAAAGAAATGAAGGCAAGTCTGAGGAACAGTTGGCCGTAGGACCAATGTCATTAGTAGGAGAAGAATTGTTGGTTGAATCTATGCAGCAGTCTTTGGAGATAAAAGCAGACCCAAAGGAACAGAGAATGACCCGTGCATCCTATAAACGTAAAGAAAAAGAACAACAAAAGGTAGATGTTGGAGCTTCAACACAAGTGGTTACCTCAGAGCCAGTGGGAGGGACAAGACTGAA